ATATATATATATATATATATGTGAGTGTCTGTGTGTGTGTGTTAGCAATGTATATTTTATTTGGTATGTTAATTGTTTTGTGCATGTGTAAGCAAGCATTGCAAATGAGTGTGTGCTAGTTCCAAGTTGATTATTGAGGTGTTTGCAAAGGACTTTAAATTAGGCTCTTGCAGAGTCTTGGCCGCAAGGGAACATCCTGCATCAACTTTTTCAATGTTGGAGTATCCTATATCTGAAGTATTTGGAGAAGATTTTAATCAGTGTTTCTAGGCAATTCAAACAAAATTTCATCCTAGCAAGTATATATGGCTCATGGGGCCAAATGAACGTGATGAAATATGATGTTGAGATTTACCATATGGATTTGGAAGAGAACCCATCATTCCCATCTTCTCAACAAGAAATTGCACAAGAAAGCCGCCAAAGTAAACATTGAATGTAAGAGGTGGAACTAGAGGTACAATATATCCAACAACGGCCCTGTAAAGGATTCTCCATCAAAAACGTCAATTCATAACAGTGAGCAAAAAAAAGATTTCTCGTTTGGACATGGATTTTAGATTTGTTGTGCAACACAACCACGTTTGAGAAAATAATTTTATGGAAAAAACCAAAGGCATACATGTGCAAATATCTATAGCAACATGATCATTGGGTGAAAAAAAAAAAAAAAAATGAATGCCATGTTCATTGGATCATTTAAGCAAAATTACTTGAGTATCATGGTGTTAACAATTTTGCTAACACGTCCTTAGAAGCCCTTGAAGGCAAGTTGACTTTTTGGAATCCATATGCATTATGAACGTGACTCCTCTTTAGCCCTTGAGGAAAACAGGCCCAGGTCTTGTTGGATTTTCCACAACTTTCTTCCAAGATTACAAGGATATTCTAAGACATGCAAGTATGACATGGTTTCATTTCAAGGGGTTTGCATTTCACACATAACATCAAAGATTTTAGGGGGATCAAAAGTGTGCATTTGATACAAGAGATCTTTAGCCCTTGAGGAAAACAGGCCCAGGTCTTGTTGGATTTTCCACAACTTTCTTCCAAGATTACAAGGATATTCTAAGACATGCAAGTATGACATGGTTTCATTTCAAGGGGTTTGCATTTCACACATAACATCAAAGATTTTAGGGGGATCAAAAGTGTGCATTTGATACAAGAGAATTCTTTTTAAAAAACCAGAGAATTCTTTTTAAAAAAACTGATCTGTCTCTTTTTAAATACATAGAACCAGAGAATTCTTTTTAAAAAACAGAAAAACTAATTGTGAGATTCTTAAAAATATATAGGTACAAAATTAAGGGTCTATTTCATCCCCTAGTGAAATTACAATTTGGGCTAGTTTAAGAATTTTCATATACCAATTTGTCGGTTGCGCCATTTGATTGCCTCAACAAGTATTCCTTTCATTGCCAAAGAGGTCCCAAAATGCCAATCCAACGTAAATCAACTCCAATTTGTTTTAATGGAACTTTTCAAATTGCATTTCTCAGGGCAGGTGCGAAAAGAAGTTCACTCTCTCATTGCCACACCTCCTCTCTCTCTCTTTCTTGAATTGCATTTTGTCAGGGCAGGTGGGAAAAGAACATATATCTCTCTCTCTGCAAGGTGCTCCCCTTGCTTAAGTCTCTCTAGACCTAACCCAATCTCTACTGCCGCCCAAATCTCCCTCTCTATGGGGAGCCCCTGCTGCAAATATCTCTATCTAAAACCATTTTGGTTGGGAAAACCAGGCAAACCCCATCTCTATGTGCCACTCCACCCCCACACCCCCCCCCCCCCCCCAACCAAAAAAAAAAATCACTTGCGGCAATTCTCTATCATAGTTACCCACTCTTTCACCCGACCCATCGCTCTCTCTCTCTAATGAGATGCTTGCCTTATCTTGTCAAAGAAACTCTTTCTCCCTGTCTCAATGAAGCTCACCTAAATAATAGGCCCTCTAAATAATAAGCTCACCTAAATAATAAGCTCACCTAAATAATAGGCTCTCTAAGAAACTCAACCAAAATAATAGGCCCTCTCGCCATTGGTGCCCTTTTGACCCCATCCTCAATGAAACTCAAAATCTCTGCGTCAATGAAAATTTGGTTTCAACTAGTAAAAAACTTGGGGCATTCATGGGTAATTTTATCAGAATTTTAGAAATCCAGTAAGGAGGAAAGAGCATTTGAAGCTAGAATAATATCAAGAGCGTTTGGGGCTTTATGTAATGCAGACCGGTAGCTTTTTTACTGATTAACTCTAGAACGCTTTTCTCTACATCACAGGAGTGTACCATCCTTGGTAGCACTCCAACACCGATTAGACATTTTTTTTTTAAGTAATAAAAGACTGTTCTAATTTTATAGATAAAATGCACGTTTTATCTTTAATTTTAAAAATCACTGAACCTTTTTCCCATTTACTTTTTTGGGTTTCATAATTATTGAAGTGGCATATTTTTTAAGTATGAAGTAATCTTCATTATTTATTTACTTATTTATAAATTATTTTCTATTTTAATTTTATTTTTGGATATATTAAGTATTTTTCACTCCTTTTTTACTCATAATATACTTTCATTTTCATTTTATAACTTATTTATAAAAAGGATTTATTTATTTTTTGTGACTTTTTTCCTTCATTCTTCAACGGCACGGCACCATGGACTCATGATAGAGGGGGCTGCTTAAAATGAATTTGCTGGCTATTAATAAGTACTGGTTTGCAGTTTGAATGGCAAAATTCATGCACTTAGCTGAAGGATGGCCACCATGCATTGGGCCTAAGAGGCATGAGATGCATTAGGAGAGCGATGAGGCTACAAGTCTATTATCCAAGTGGTCCACAGTGAATGAAAATGCATTTGCCACAATAGTAGAGAGCATAAAAGATGCATATTGTCTGTCAATTTACTGGGGAAAAGGTATTATGTGAAAACTTCTGAAAAATATTGAGCTTTTTCTGGACACTGGATAGTACTTGCTTAACTGGAATCTTTTTCGCCTTTAGGAGCTGAGATGTTCTGCTTGCTTAATATTGGAGACTTGATCTCTTTTCCAGGATTTGATTACCAATGTACATTAAACCAGAGTTCCATAAAACTTCTTTAGAGAGAGGGAAAGAGAGATGAGAGAGAATTTATGGGCATAGAAAGAGCCCTTGAATGAAATGCATACAATTTATGCAACAGATTGGACATCGTATTGCTTTACATTGGTAATACAGATATAACAACCAGATAAAACTGCGATTTGCAAAAGGACAATCAAACAAAGTATGGAGTTTGAACATTTCCCAAGTGCAGTTCACACAGACCAATCAAAAATCCCTAGACAACAAATACCAAACTGCAAATGACAAAAAAAGCAACTTGGAAACTAAACAAACTGCAAATGACAAAAAAAGCAACTTGGAACTTAAACAACAAATATTCAGATTTGGTTAGGTGCATAATATATTAGAATTATTCTTAAATTATGCTAACAGCAATTTATTTAGAAAGAAGTGAGACTAATAACTCATATTTATTTACTTAATGTCCTTCACAATAATACACTGAAGATATTTATTTGATGTTACACTTTAAATGATAATAAAATTTATTATTTCAATCAAATCACATACAAGCATAGCATTTTTTGTCACAAATCTCCTTTTATTTCAATAAAAGAAAATGAATGAGGTGATTGAGCAGTTTTTTCTTTTTTCAGATATAGACAGAAATTCATGGAAATAGAGATCATTTTTTCTATTGTACACATTTCAAAACGATTATGGGTTAAACTCCCATAACCAATTGTGACAAATGTAGGATCAATCATACCTTACATTAAATGGTACCTTGGAAGCACTGGATTTAGAACTCCCTATTTGTAAATAATGCGAATTCGAGAATCTCTTTTCCTAAAAAATTTTTGGAAAATTGATTTGAATAATTATTGTTTTCTTTTTATTGATATATAAAATTTGCTTTTTTATGGATAGTCATTTATTGCTTTCTTTTTTTATTTAATCTATATTTATTGCTTCTTTTCCTTTAAAAATATAAAGAATATGGTGTGCTAACCTGTTGATGGTAGGGGAATGCCATCTCAAGCTCAAAAGAGCATTCCCCTACCATGAGATTGTGGCCGGACTGCAATCCTGCTCTATGAGGGTGCAATCACATTCCTTAAGAGATTGACCTTTCCCAGTCGTGCGAAGCCAGTTAACAACTAATTTCAGTATATTTTCTCTGACCTTTGTACTGGAAATATGTCCATCAAAGCATAAATATGCACTTATCACCATTTTCCACAGAATAATGATCTCTTCAATGTCCTATTTCCGGGTAAGTGTCAAAGTGTCATATTGTTTTCTTGTACTTGCACATCAATCAACCAAGAAAGATACAATTATTGTTTCTTAATTCTTTTGTACCTACACTCAACATAGATATAGTAGGATAGTTTAATCCATCTACTACCTCTCAAACTTTTGTATATTAGGCTGTTGTTATCTTGACTCTTCAATGAGGATACATATGCCCAGTAAAAATATATGCCCCGAGATTTGTCAGCAAGGAGCTGAACTCCAAAGCATCATACAAGGAACACAGAAATGATTTTCTTTTCCTTTAGATGGAAACTACATGAAAGGTCTAGCTGAACTCCAGCTGGATCTCCATGACTCCCTCCAACTGAAAACAATCTTCTAAACAACCCATAGGTGGAATGCAATTTGACGATAACAATATTTTCTATTTCAGTGTTAGCCCATTTCTTTGGCAAAGTGGTTATACTACTAACACAAAGTATAAAGCCACGCATGCAACAGGAAAAAATAACTGACTATCCGATTTCTTTCAATTGGTATGAGGGGGTGAGGTAAAAGGGCTTCCCAGTTCACTGATGAATGTTTAACCGTACCAAAATGTAGAACACTATAACATGAATCCTTTGAGTAGATTCGCATGCATGATTCAAGAGGTTTGAGGAATTGGAAAAAGTTGCAGTATACTTCATATTTACATGTTCCAAAATCAGAGAAAACCCAAGATAGCAAGGAAAGTACCTCAGTGATTTCTGACCAAATAGATAAGAAAATAGACCATAGAAACACCATGATAGAATCATGCACACTGACACGAAAAACGTCATGAAACCTCCACCCAGTCCAGCATATAGATACACCTGCACACAATGATACTTTCTAACATTCGTACTTGTAATTATCATATTTATAACGAAATATGATTTTAAGTATTCTTTTTAAACAGAATCTCACTGAAATAAAAAACTGATGAATTACATGTAGAAAGAATACATCTATCTGCAATGATAGCAACAGAAAATAGATACAAACTGATAATAAATACAACAGATAACACATAGTTTCAACTTAGAGGAATAGGGGGTCACACAACTTGAGTGTCCAATGTGGGGGGCCATAATATGCCGGCTGACCCATTCAGGGTTCATTTCAGAAATATTCACTTTTGAACAATGGACAGTTACGACTTAGGTGCACCAATGACCATTGATATCAATTGTTATCAATTGCATTAGCAGCCTACCATACTGTTTGCCATGTAATACATACTTTAAGCCATCTACAACATGTTTTCTTCATCATTTTAGACAAATAAATAATATTAAAGAGCTTTCTTCTTTACGAAAAAATTGTCATCCACATATCCTGACCTAACAGTATGCATATAAAGCCAGAGAGGGCATGAGAATTATTAGAATAGTTCCCTCCAACATTTTTTGAATGCCATGAATAGAGGATGAAAGGTAAATAGAAAAAGGTAATGGTCTTTTACCATAGACAAAGAAGAATAAAATCCAAAAGCTCCCCAATGGTGCCTCCCATCTAAGAGATCCTGTGGCCCATAAAAAAGTCACCAACTCAAAAATTCAATTGAAGTAAATCAAATGTGTTTTTAGTGAAATATTGAATAGAGAACAAATATTCAGAATAAGGATCAATGCCAAAGCCAAAAAAGATAGAAAAATGAAAATTAATTCGGCTAAAAACCATTTTCGTACCAACCATAGCAATGCAATGTCATTTTATTGACAAAAGTAATATCAGAAGGATAAAACTACTTGGTAACATGCTTCCTCCAAATTTCTCACAAATATCACATCATCTGCTCAATTGACATCCAATTGGTATTATATGCCAACCATTAAATACATTTCATCAGATACTATAAATAAGAAAAGTCTATATGCTATGAGCTAACATATATCCGAAATAGTTAAGGTTAGTTTCCATAGTACACAAAAACGCTAAACAAATACTAAGCCTAAACTTAAGTCATATGATAATCTATACAGTACATTGGAAACGAGAAAAGGTGACAAAGATGTTGTCAAATTAGCAAAAATGAGATAGAAAAGTGTAGGGATCTAGACTATATTGAATACATTACGAGTGAGGATCAAAGGGTCTTGAAGAAGGATGAAGAGGTCAACGAAAGATAGAGAATTTATTTTCAAAAATTATTAAATGACGAACACGATAGGGAACATAGCGATAGAAGGAACCGTTGGAATAACGAGGGCAGAGGTTATACATACTTTCGTAAGATTAGGATATCGAAAGTGAAAGAAGAATTGGAAAGGATGAAAATAATAAAGGCTTTAAGATCAGATGGTATCCCGATAGAGGTTTGGAAGTGCATGGGGGACATTGGCAATCACTAGCAGACCAAGCTGTTCAACAAGGTGTTGAGAACAAAAAAATGTCAAACGAATGGAGGAAAAGTATTGTGATACCTATTTACAAGAATAAAGGAGACATACAAAATTGTGCGAACTATAAAGAAATCAAACTTATGAGTCATACTATGAAGCTCGGGGAGAGTGATTGAGCAATGACTAAGGCATGAAACAAGTGTATCAAAAAACCAATTCGGTTTTATACCAGGGAGGTCAACAACCAAAGCTATTTTCCTACTTAGGCAACGGATTGAGAAGTTTAGGGCAAAGGGAAAAGACCTCCACATGGTCTCTATTGATCTAGAGAAAGCTTATGATAGAATACCTCAAGGTTTGATTTGCTGGGTGTTGAAAAAAAAAGGAGTCTCCAGACACTACATCAACTTGGTGAGAGATACAAATAATAGAGCGCTAACTAATGTATGAATAACTAGTTGAGAGATGAGTGAGTTTTCAGTGACAATAAGTCTGCATCAGGGATTAGCATTGAGCCTATGCCTCTGTCTTAGTTATGGACAACTTAACTAGACACTTACAAGATGCGCTACCGAGGTGTATGTTGTTCGCAAATAGCATAGTTTTGATCAATGAGACCTGAAACGACGTCAACACAAAGTTAGAACTTTGGTGGGATGTTTTAGAATCTAAAGGCTTTAAAATTACCCGGACTAAAATACAATATATGGAATGCAAGTTAGTAATAATAAGAGTAGAGATGAGGAAGTAGTTAAGATTGATGACGAGAAAATACCAAAAAGAGCGCACTTTCGATAATAATCCAAGAAAATGCATATATTGGGGAAGATATTGCATATAGAATTAGATATGGGTGGACGAAGTAGAGATGTGCAACCGGAATTTTATGTGATCACGACATACCAATGAAGCTGAAAGGCAAGTTCTATAGGACAGTTAGAAGACCAACATTGCTCTATGGGGTGGAATGTGGGTGGTCAAAAAACAATATATCCATAAAATTAGTGTAACAAACGCAAGTAGTTAAGATTGATGACAAGAAAATACCAAAACGAACCTACTTTTGATATCATTGATTAATAATCCAAGAAAATGGATAGATTGGGTTGCATATAAAATGAGATATGGGTGGGAGAAATGGAGATGTGCAATCGGAATTTTATGTGATCACGGTATAAAATGAAGCTGAAAGGCAAGTTCTATAGGACAGTTGGGAGACCAACATTGCTCTATGAGGTGGAATGTGGGCGGTCAAAAAACAATATATCCATAAAATTAGTGTAACGAATGCAAGTTAGTAATAATAAAAGTAGAGACGATGAAGTAGTTAAGATTGATGACCAGAAAATACCGAAAAGAACGTACTTTCGCTATCGTAGATTAATAATCCAAGAAAATTGATAGATTGGGGAAGATATTGCATATAGAATTAGATATGGGTGGGCAAAGTGGAGACGTGCAACCGGAATCTTATGTGATCGCAACATACCAATGAAGCTGAAAAGCACGTTCCATAGGACAGTTGTGAGATCAACATTGCTCTATGGGGTGGAATGTGGGCGGTCAAAAAACAATGTATCCATAAAATTAGTGTAATGAAGATGATGATGTTGAGATGGATGAGTGGCATGACAAGAGGGGATAGAATTCGAAATCAATACATTCAGGAAAATTTTGGGTGAGGCACCAATAGGCGAAAAGATGAGAGAGAGTAAACATAGGTGGGCTGGCCATGTGTGGTGCAGATCCAGTACAACACCTGCTAGAAGGTGGGAGTTAGCTCAAGTGGAATGCTCAAAAAAGACGAGGGGTAACTAGGCCAAAAAGGATATGGTTGAAAGTAGTGAGAAAATATATGGGGACTTATGGCTTCACTGAGGGTATGGCCCTTAATAGAGCAGAATGGAAGACCAAGATTTATTTAGCTGACCGTAATTAGTTGGGAAAAGGCTTTGATGATGATAATGATAATAATGATGATGATGTTAGTTTCCATAGTATGACAATGGAAAACACAAAAACAACTTAACCAAATTTGATACTCTATTAGGTCTAGTGTAAACAAACTAAATGTGAACCAACCTAATCGAAATATCAATGTTTTTTATGAGATGTATTCTTGTTTTTGCCCTTAGCTTGGATCAACTCATGGCCCCAATCAAGACTCATTTAACTCACTAAACAATAGTTTAATGGGTTACGTAGATTAATTAATCTACTTGTCCTTATCATCTTTGTGCTTTGTAAACTGCAATCTAGCATGGGTTTGTTTCATTCTAATTATTAGCTGATTCTAAATAAGCTTGAGATAAACCCAACAGTCCTCCCGATCTTTTGGTCTCGATTGAAGCCTAAAAGACATACCGATTAAAGGGATAATTGCAAACATAATTGGCAACTAAATTTGGATATTAAAAGGATAAACAAAATAGGAATCTAAGTGCTAAAAAGGAAGCCTGAGAAACAAAATCTAATCAAATAACTATATTACATGCAACGGTACAAGCTAAGAACGTGAAGCAAAAAGTCTTGGGGAAAATGAATCATTTTTTATGGGTTGCTCAATAAAGGGTGAGTTGGTAAGATAAGGAAGCAGTCTACCATATTTTTTGTTTTTTGATTGATCCCTACCCGATATGCTGATTGAAAAAGGATAACACATAACATAATTGCTGACTACATTTTGACAAGAACAGAGAAAATACAAAAAGAATATAGGTTGCTATAATACCAAACCCCGATCTAAAATACCAACTGCTTGGCCTTAGCAATCGCCGCAAGTGTGGTTCAGACAATTCAGTAAGGCAATGGTTGCTATTGGATTCCACAAGAGTAATTCTCGTTATTCCCTCTTGGTAAAGAGGAGACCTCAAGGTACAAGGTTTCTCCTTATTTATGTTGATGATATTGTGGTAACGGAAGATGATATGGACAACACATCCTCCTTCAAGACAACTCTTCACCAAGAATTTGACATTCAAAGATCTGAGGACCACTCAAGTACTTCTTGGGTAAGAATTTGTAACTTCTAGAAAGGGAATTTTATTTCGCAGCATAAGCAACCCTTGGTCTCTTATGGGAAACTGGGAAAGTAGATGTCAAACCTCTTTTTCACCTCACCCACTTGACCCTGATATCACCTCAGATGCAACTTCAAGAAAGGTCCTTAGCTATGTGGGCTTGTACCTGAGGCTGGTTGGTCGCATCATTTATCCGACCATTACACGACCTGTTATCATATGTAGTCAACATGGTCAACCGGTTTATGAACGCGCCATGATCTTCACATTTAGAGGCAGTTACACATTCTGAGATACTTAAAAAAGAATCCTAGTAAGGAACTTTCATTCAGGCGTAATTCTTCTACAGATTTATGTTGCCAAAAAAATGCTGACCGGGTCAGTTGCCCAGTTGATTGTAATCAACTAGTAGCTATTGCACCATCCTAGGGAAATTTGGTTGCATGGACATGAAAAAGGCAATACGATCGCAAGGTCAGGTGTGGAAGCAAAATATTGAGTAAACGCATCAAGAATATACAATCTTTGATGCTACAAGAGCTCCTAGTGCTATGGGAGTGCACATCACCTCACTTGTTCCCATGCACTTTGACAAGGCTGCTATCTCTTTCGCCACGAATACCATCTTTCAAGAGAGGACAAAGCACATTGATGTTGATTGTCAGGGGAAAACGTGGCAGACTCCATATACAATGACTGAAAGTCAACTAGCCAATATTTTTACCAAGCCACCGGGTCGATACTGCCTTCATACATTTATACGCAAGTCAAGCATTCATGACATACATGCACCAACTTGTGGGGAAATCTACGGTGTGTGTATGCTTTTCCATATGTAGTTCTTAGGACATATGGGACTTTCTCTTTCTTTAGTGCTGTTTTGTTATTCTTTAGGACTGATAAGTCCTTTTGCAATTTCTGTTGCAACTTATTATGTGTATGACTACATAAAACATAAACTCTAGGCCAATCTTCTAGCCTTTTATGTAGTCTCCTTTCCCCCTCACTTTGCAGTCTCTCTCTCAACGCGCCTTCTCTGCCTTCCTCTCTCTTGCTTTTCCTCCTCTCACTTGTAGTCATTGTTCTTAGGCCCACAAAATTTACATATACTTATGCTAATATTTTCCTTCAAGAGATGTCAGGACAAAAACGCATTAGGTAAAATGACGGCTAATCTATAAGGCTCCAATAGAAACTCTTGCCTAAGAAGGCCTGATAATACCTGAAAAAAGGACTCACCTGAACATATATGTCTTCCATAATCCGCCTTTTTCCTAAAAATTATGCAACACCAACACACAATAAAAATCAATACCAACCTCTTTGAATTTCTTCTCTCCATCCAAACCTGAAGAGCCATCATAGAAATAATTCTCAAGAAAATGATTGTCTCATTTCTTCTAAGACCATATGTCTTGTCAGTTTGTCTCTTGTTTCATCGATCTTTTTTGAGTTCACGCACCTTCCCTTTACGATAAACACATAAAATACTAATTTACAAAAAAGATAAACACATAAAATTCTTTCTAAAACATGTTCCCAATTAATATACTAAAAGCCCATACATCCTCATCTTCTTTCTCCATAATTTGACAAATTTTATTTTAAGAAGAAGTTCTCAAGAAAACCCCATTAAGGCCTTTATTTTACATTGCCTAAGACATCCTAAAGCTTACTAGCTAAGAATGTTCAAATAATACAAACTTCAAGCATCTCAGGAAATAAATACCTTGTGCTAAGCTTTTCTCTCTTCAAATTTTCGTACTTTCCAACTCAAGAAACTTGTCCCAAGATCTACAAGTACGAGTAAAGAGATCTATCCATTGATAAGAAGAAGAAAAAACGTGAACAGCGATTGGATTGATGGGAAAATAGAATCCTGGGTCGTAAACAGTGATTTGATTGATGATAAAGAAAGAGAATTCTTGGTTCACTTCTCATAAAGTGATCTATAAGTAAAGAACATTGACATCTGCTCAGGCAGTATGCACAAGACATACTAATGGTCTAGCTAGAAAAAGACTACATATCCAGGTTGTAGCTGAATGCAGCGAGTGTCATGTCGACTAGCGGAACAATCAACTCAGCTAATTCTCTTAGGAATCTTTTTTTAGTTGGCAGAAAGCCCGGGTACATCAAACGCCTTGAGCCTTTGGTAACACATTGTTTGAGATTGTGAAATCCAGAATGGTTCTGGGCGGCGAGGGAAGGAAGGGGGATGTTCACCTTTAGAATTGAAGTAGCACCTTTTGAATCTTAAGTTGTACTAGGAGAGTCGTGGCATTTTTTTTAAGTTCTGTTTGCCACCCTACTCATTGGAATATGTGTTCCTGCATGATATATTTCCCAATGGAGATCCCATAAACTATGCTGGCGAGATGAGGGTGTTCCATGGAATTTAATATCTCGTTGTGATGAAAGCCAGTTTGATTGTGACTGCCCTATGGAAAACTCGTTTAGCAAAGGAAGGTTGCAAATGTGTGCCTAACATTTGGGCCTCCTGTGTGCCTGAAAAAAGCATGCTGCCTTTGCGAAATGCATAGATACATATAAATGCCCGTAAGAATCACTCCAGAAAAGTACAACTGTATATCTACTTCAATATGCTTGGATTTGCTTAATTCTATAATAGGATTAGAACATTGCTTGGATTTGCTTAATTCTATAATAGGGTTAGAACGTTATGAGCATTTCATAAAATAAGAATAGCATCCTTATCTATTCTTAAATAACAAAAAAGACATACTGAATATGCTTATCATTACCAAAAAAATAAATTGTGACCTATAGAATTCCAGAAAGCAATCAAGGCCCTTTCTGTTTTTTTTGTCTTTAAAACAATCGAGGGAAGTTTTGCCTTGACATTCACCTATCCAGGTGGATTATGCCAGGTGGACATAAAGTTATGTAAGATATAACTGCCTAATAGTTTGGAATAACCCAATGGTTTGACGATAGATTTGATTTTCACCCACAAACTCGAACAAATTACGATTTTAAAGATTTGAAATTCCGATTCACTATCCATTTAGATTTTTCATCATCTCGGATCTCCTACACCCGAATTCGAGCGAAACATTGTTTGTGGGTGGGGGCTTTGATTCGGGTTGGCTGAGAAAGCTTTGATGAGGATTCAAGCCATGAATTTGCACCAAACATGAAGATTGGGGGATCCGTTCTCAAAATTTGGGCTAAATACCATTTTTTCTTTTTTTTTTTTTTTTTGAGAAAGTTTTTCAGAAATTTAAACTCATATGCTTGTTTTTTTTTCCTATATCAATTATCATTGATTTGTGAAAAGTATATACTTTTCTTTTACAGCTGTTTATGATTTTTCTGATTCTTCTATTTTACTATGTTTCACATGAACTTTTTCATATGTCATGTTTTATATATTTTTTTATTCTGCGTCACTTTTGTGGATTTTTGCTTTTTTTTCCGATTTTAGGGACTTCTTGGAATTTTTTCAAATTTTCTCTTAGGTTGTTTAGGGGCTTGGACCGCTGGACAACAGGCAAGTTGACTTGGACTTGGCCGAGTCACTCGGCCTGCAATGGAGTGAGTACCTTGCCAAGCCATGTTTTAGAATATTGTTTAGGAGACATAAGAGATCACTACCATTTTCATGGAAGCAATGGAAATGTTGATGGATTGGTGTACAATGGGCCCTCTTTTCTGATCTAAGTGAATTAGTGTGGGAGTCTCTCCCTTTTATTCTAACAGACCCCATCGAACAAGCCACTTGTCCTAGTTTTCATTCAGCAAAAAGTTAATTTCTTTAAAAAAGTAAACCAAAAACAACCCTGAATGAGGTATGAAGCCAAGAGGCTTACTAGCTTTCTATCCTATAATGCCATCAAATATTGGCATTTAGCTAATATGGTTCAAAGTAAGAATCAGAATAAGAAGACAAAATATAAATACATAATGGTCGCACAATAGAGTTACTGACCTGCCAAAGAAATGGCAACCCTCAAGAATCACCATCAAAATTGGGACAAAAATTCAAATGATGTTCAACATGATAATTTGCTTGTAAATAAAAGAAATTTTTTAATACAGATTGTTTTATATACAGTTTATTGATAAGACAGACAATGCTATATGGATTGAAGTTAGTACCTCCCTTGATTCTTTCAAAGATGCACCATCTAGCATTGGAGAATTTCCCCAGATAATTCTTGGAATCAGTAAGCCAGCAAATGAGCATGGGACGAACATCAAGAAGGCCAGTGATGGATGAGCAAACCTGTAAATGGGAAGTTTATTCTAATCAGCAGGTAAAAAGAATGCCCACCATGTAAACATAGCTGCATATGAATTCAACGTGAAGGAACAAGAATTCCTCAACAACTGCTAATATGACTTCTACACATCGTATGCATCTTAAAAATGTCATATGAAAAAAAAAAAATTCTATGAAAACAATTGTTATCTTGAACAATCCTACTATAAATTATTAAAAAGAACATTCATGTCAAGAAAAACTTAACCCTTCCACAACGACTCTTCTAACTATCATGACTATAACCTAATGAATGCAATTCTACACCCTCCAACCCATATCATTTGCCTAAAACACCAAACAAGCAACAGAACTATATCATGTCAAGAAAGAAGAGACAAACAAACACATGAGATCTCTTCATACAAGATATTGCACCCAATAGTTTGTGGTTTCAACAAATAGCCAGAGATTAACATAAATTCTAAGCAAAGATAGTTACTGAATGTTTGCACGTTATGTCCCAAAAGGTACATTACAACATAATAACATAAGAACTAAAGATTGAGTTTCAAGAACAGCTAAACACATAAAATGAGCTTATAATCAACAAGTTTTAGAAAGGTAAACATCAAGGTGCACAGCGCGAAGAGAAACAAAGATGTACACAATTGTTGCACGGAGGGGGCACTTCCGCCCCTTCATGAGCCATGTCAACCTCAGAATTCACATCATGGATAGTGTGCTGAAACATCAACTCCTGAGCAGCAACGTCCCTAATGTCTTACACTATTTGATTTCGCTTCAATTCCCAAAAGTAGTGTTACCAAGTTAAAGAGATCAATTTTGAACAAAAACAAAGCCGGCGAGATGGTGTTTTCTCACAAAGTTTTTGTAAGTCTTTGGAGGAATTAGGTTGAAATGGTTGAGGAAGTCCACAAGGCTCGAAGAAGTTCGTGCGGTTGAGACTTCCACTTCCCTAATTCCAAGGACTAATGTATTGAAAGATACTACAGAATATGAGCCAATCAGCCACATAGATGACTCTACAAGACTCTGACCAAAAATCCATGAGGTCATTCCCTTCCTCGTATCTGTGTTAGATGGATTTTCAGTGCATGAGCAAGTTATACTTCCATTTCTTTCAATCAACAAAATGGCATCCTTCATGCGCATACATCATTACATTTGAAGAACAGTGACCATGACATCCCTACATGGTTCTCCCTATTAAACAATACTTAGTTAAGAGTTTGGCAGATTACATGTATATTCTTTATGGAAAACGAACTGTAGATTCCTCTTCAAACCTTTTAAATAACCCAGTCCAAGTGACCAACAGATGCATAAACACCTTATGTGGTAATGAAGGTGATGACTGCAGTCTTTGTTTTCACTGTCACCAACATTAATCTAATCTAGCATTTATCATCAATTTCTTGCTCATATAAACCGACATGCAACTGGACCAGTAACAAGGTGTTTTTAACTAGGAAACTTTGGGTGTTTTTAACTAGGAAACTTTGGCAATGGTCAAGGGAATTCCAACTAAGGAAGCACCATGGTTGTGATCCAACTATAGTGGGGAACTTCTAGGAACAGAGATAAGATGTTCAGTTAAATAGCAAACACAGGGTATTCAAGCTGGATAAGGGGCACAAAGGTCATGGACATAACTACATTCCTCCAGTGCAATAGAATGAGAAATAACTTGCTAGAAAAGCTAAAGAGGACCGCCAAAGGTCTGGTACAATGCCACGACTGGCATTGTGGGAAATGGTAGTATGATCCATATTGTCATCATAACAGCATAGTTGTACGGGTCACTGCCCAAACAATGAGATGGGCACTGATGGTGGCAAAGCCAGTCCCACACAATGGATCATTAATTCAATCATGTGTCACACTATCCACCCTTGACCATCCAACCAATTGAGGAAACAGTGATTAGCCCTATAACCATGCTTTTATTATGATTATATAGATTGCCGGGATTATATACTATTTATCTTTGGTACAAAGACTTCATAATCATCCCTAGCTGTCAAGTGTGAAATTTAATAGCTTGAGGTGTATCACAAAGTTTAAAATTTTCTTTTAAACTTTGAGCCCCATCATGGCACACCCCCGACATCCCAATTTCGCATCCAACTGCCAAGGATGATTATGATTTCATTGTATTAAAGGTAAATAGTCTTATTTTATACTTTTCTTTATATACCAAGATAGCTCCTTTGCTAGAATACATTTGAAGATAAGATTAGAAAGCAAGTGAACCTAAAGAAAATGGTTAAGGAAAATATACAAAATGGAATAAAGAAAATGGTTAAGAAAAATATATAAAATGGTATAAAAATTACAACGCAACAAGCAAGAAGATCCTTACCAATTCATAGTGTTACTTGAGATCAGCAATCTAAAAATTGAAAAGACAACGGGAATAATAACTGCCAGAAGAATTGCAAAGGTATGCAATAGTAGTCCTGTAGAAATAAGCAATAAAAACTTCAGTTAAATTATACATATAAAAACCCAAAATCAAAGTCATAAAAGAGATCCATGAGAATATGGTGGCTCAAGTTGGTTTTTTTCATAAACTCAACGATAATGCTAAATTTATAGTTTGCATTTAGAAGGGGTAAGTCTATTTTTCATGTAATAACCCTTAAGCATGTTGAACACAAAATGAGTTATGGAAACAATAACTTTATATACATCATTTTTTTGAAACAATAACATTGTCAGTCCCAATACCAAGCCCGATGAGAAAGGAGGGTTGTGTTAGGTTTGCAGCTAGGGGCAAAAATTTTACCACATAATCCAGATCCAATGCTATATGCATTGTACTGGCATCCATGTGCAGTGAAGTGAGAAATGAGCAAGTGTGAGCGAGGCATTCCCTGGAAGGGACGGGCCACAATGACGCTTGGTTTTTTTTTTTTTGGGTAAGTCAGTGGGGAAGAAGGCCCCTTACCCTTTTTTAATTAATAAAAAAGCAAAGAAAAACATTTAAGATACAACCCTTTGGTAGGGCACTTGCGCCAGATCATGTAATAAAAGAGAGGAAAGAAAATCAGGTGGTCTATGGTGCCACATAGTAGCACCGGGACCACACGATGACGCCGGGTTGCAATGATAAGTAGGCAAGGATTCCCGCGCAATTTTGGATAAGCGCGGGTAAAGAAGCTAGTCCAAGAGAATAAGATTCATCTAGCCATATGGAATGTAGGAACTCTAACTGGTAAGAGGATGGAGTAAGTGGATACAGTGAGACAAAGGAGAGTTAATGTAGCTTGCATACAGGAAACTAAGTGGAAAAGGAAATTAATAGATACAAACTTTGGTATATAAGAAAGAAAAATTATAGAAATGGTGTAAGCATAACAGTAGACAAAGATATAAGGATAAAATAGTTGATATTAAGAGAGTAGGTGATAGGTTTCTATTAATAAAACTTGTGTTAGGGGATGAAATAGTGCTTATCCACTACAGTACGACTAGAGGATAGAACTAAAAGATATTTTTGAGAGGACATGGATGGACTACTCCAAGGAATAATAAAAGGAGAAAAAAGGTAGTAGAGGATGCAAAAGGGTATATGGAAGATATAGATTTGGGGAAAGCAATCAGATGGGTGATCCTATTCTTAATTTTGCTATGGCTTATGGCCTAGCAATAGCAAATACCTACTTTTAAAAAAAAAAAGATGAACATTTAATAACCTACAAAGTGGATTTTATAAAAGCCAGATAGACCTTTTTCTAGTTAAGACAGCACAAAAACCATCACATAAAGAGTGCAACGTTATCCAAAGAAAGAGTTTGACCACACAATATATGCCTATGGTTATGAATGCAAGCACGAAGAGATGGAAAATGAGTCAAATTAATAGGTGTCCAAGAACCAGGTGGTGGAATTTAAAACCGAAGAATATACTTTATATAGAAACAAATTGTTAAAACTTGGAAGAACATAAAAATTCCAAAAAGAACTCTATGAAAATAGTAAGGCTAAGCTTAAAGCATATAATGATTTATACAAAAAATTGGGGAGAAGAGAAGGGGAAAAAAATGTCTTCAAACTAGCAAAATTGAGAGAGAGGAAGTCTAAGGATGTAGATCAATGTTAAATGCATTAAGAGTGATCCAAGGGTCTTGGTGACGGATGACAAGGTCAAAGAAAGGTAGAGAATTTATTCTCAAACATTGTCAAATGATGACCACTTTAGGAGAACAAAGTTAGAAGGAACCTTTGACATAAATGAGGTTGGAAGTCACAAATACATACATTCATAGGATTAGGATATTTGAAGTAAAAGAAGCTTTGGGAAAGATAAAGATAGGAAAGGCTTTATGACCAGATGGTATACCACTAGAGGTTTGGAAGTAATAGTGTATAAAACCAAGTCCAAGTGACATAACTTAAGAACTTTTCTCAATTCAATACAAGAATGTTTCAATTACATCAATCTTACATTGACACATAAAACCAAGTCCAAGTGACATAACTTAAAAGCATTTCTCATTTCAATACAACAATGTTTCAATTACATCCATCTTACATTGACATATACAATTCCAGACACCAAACTTGGCTTCTAATACACTTAAAAAGAAAATTACAACTCTAATTGATCCCTCAACTTAGTCCAAGACACAAGATACACTAAGGAGATTGATTAAACACATGACAATACACTTGATCTCAAAACTTACAGCAACAAACAAAATACATTGCCAAACTACAGACATTGCCAAATAATACGCTACTTTGAAATTACATCATACACTACAAATTCAATCTCCTCCTTTACCAAATATAAATATTATACGTGCTTAATTGATTTGATCATGGGAAGCCGTGCATTGGGCTCATATTTGCTCTGTTTACAACCGTAGTTCATAGCTATGTATCATGGGATGACTTCTAGATGGTAATAACATATAGGCCAATTTTGCATCATCAAATTGAGAAGAAATTGAGTATCATATCTTCTACACTTTCATGTCACATTCCAACATATGAGACCAACTTAATAAATAGGATCCAATAATGAGGGGAAAACGAGGGAGATAAGAGAGCTCAAATCACTCTCAATTTGGTGACAAATGGAATAGTAGGATCTAATAATAAGGGGAAAATGTCGGAGATACAAGAGCTTAAATCACACTCAATTTGGTGAATAATGAAATAGTATGGGCATGGAGATTAGGGCATAATTCCTCTCAAAATCTCACCAAAATAATCAATAAGATAATGAATTATTTAGCTAAATTGGATAAAAAATTGTAGAGAAACAACCAATTAAATCTCAACAAAACACTATAAAAAAATCTCTTTGAACTTAGATTAATCAATTAGAAATCAAATCATGGGACGTCATACGTTGAGCTCATTTTGCCCTGTTTACAGCTGTAGGTCTTAGCTATGTACCATGGGAAGACTTCTAGATGGTAATAAGATACATTCCAATTTCGCATCATCAAATTGAGAAGCAATTAAGCATCAGATCTTCCACACTTTCATGGTACATTCCAACATATGAGAGGACGTAACAAATAGGATCCAATAATGAGAGGAAACGTGGGAGATTAGAGAGCTCAAATCGCTCCCAATTTGGGGAGCAATGGAATAGTATGGGTATGGAGATTAGGGCATAATTCTCCTCTCAAAATCTCACCAAAATAATCAATAAGATAGTTAATTAATTAGCTGATTTAGATTTAAAAATTGTAGAGAAAATCAACCAATTTCTTTGAACTTGGATCAATCAATTAGGAATCAAATCATCAACCTCAAGGAACAATTTAAACTCAAGATCTCATAAATCAAATGAAATTAGATCATCATATCTTGCTGTAAATGTGGATTTACAACTATAAAAAAACTTCATGAAAAGATTTGATGATGATCTCTTCAAAGAATCAAATATCCATGGAGCTAGGTCTCCATCTAAGCTTGAGATCAAGCCCCAATGGAGCTTTGATGGAGTTTCTCTCACTAGATCCTCATATCTAACTTTCTTTCTCTCACTAGGACGTTTCCCTAATGATGAAGAAGAATATAAAGGCTAGAGGAGGGCACGCCCCTCTCTTGGAGAAAGTTTCTCTCATTAAATTAAGAAGATGAGTGAGAGAAGAGAGGAAGAGCGAGAGATAGAAATATGAAGGCGTACCTCTCTCTTGAAGGTATTTCTCTCACTAAAACCTTTAATATGGAAGAGAGAGAGAGAGCATTGGGGCATGACTCTTTTAGAGGGAGAGAGAGAGAGAGAGAAAGAGAGAATGAGTTATGTTCCAAAATGAGAGATTGAGGGGGTATTTATAATGTTTAGGGTAGAAATGCTTTAGATGAGTTAATCTTGGCCATTGAAGTTCATCATCTAAGGCTACAAAGAAAGGCTTAATCGTAGCCTTCCATATTCCATCATGTCATCTTGATGTGTGCAAGGGATTAAAACACATTTATCCTCCATTTATTCCATAATTCCCTCCAAATTCCCCTTTTATAAAAAGCTCGTGATATTTTGAAATAATCAAACTAGAAATTAAAGTTAGAGGTATATAACCTTGAGATAATTAGGCAGAATTTTTAGAAAAATTCAAATTTAATACTTTCCCTCCATTTTAAAAGAGCACGTGTAGCCAATCATATAGTGGCACAGGTGTGAGCTAGTTAAATGGATTTCTACAATTGTCCTTAGGGTTTTAATCGAAATATCAAACCATATGCCCCTTCTAAAGGAGCTCACACATGTGCACAAAACTCAAGTCCACACAAAAAACATGTGCCTAAATTCAATTTTTCATTTTTCAAAAATCCACAAAATTACACAATTAAATACCCCACTTGAATACAACAATTGTCAATATGCCAAAGGGATTTATGGGGTTTGACATCATCCCCCTACCACCTCCATGTGGGGCTGATGTGGAGGCCCCCATGTCAACATGGACACCCATTGGCCATTTAGGTGTCCCGTACGGGTCTCAGGGTGTCTGTCCTTCATTGTCATTCTACATAAAAAAATCTAATAATTCATTTTTCTACTTCGAAAAAATCCAGAAAAATCTCCAAAAATTCTTAAAAAATCATTTAGTCATGCTCCTTCAAAATAAATCATTTTGGCACCATTTATAACATTTTGAAGGGGAATAAGGATCCTATAGAGATGAATTAGCCATCAAAGCACTCCACTCGGCTAGACTCGAAATCCAAGTCACCTTCTCAGTATTACCCAACAAACTAATGACCCACAATGCTAATTAGAGGCTCACAATATACTTTATCAAAGTCAAACCAATGGGTAACTTTGAATCTCTGAGCTTTAGTGGATTACAGGTGCACCCTAGAGAACATGCAAACATAGGGTGCGAGGGTTTCTCTCTTGGCACATATGCATGTTTCTTCACAGTGGAATCCTTGAAGGGCGGCTTCCCATTTTGCAACTGTTAATGCACATGCTATGAGAAGGTTCCATGAG